GTTTAAAAAGCTTCCAGTTTAAAGCCAATTTGTCTAATAAATGTTCTTACTGAATTGCATGGCACTTAAGCCTTTCATCCTGAATGATTAGGTTTAGAAAGGGAGACTGAAATAATAGAAGACAGTTCATTTTAAAGTCAAGCACTCTCATCTTATTCATTCATAAGCTATCGTGTATGTTTATTAAGACCTAGAACAGATATTTCATTTGATAGATTGTGGCAGTAGTAGCCTTTGCTTCTGAAGGCTGGTGGACATTTGAGTCATTTTGAGATCACTGATCAAGGAACTATTTATGAGGACTTACATGGCAGTGACCTGTGAGCTGATTAAAATGGCATGCTGGATTGGCAACAGCACAGTGTCTTTTATACATTTTACAGCATTATTATGTTATCAATTAAATTGGAATTGTCAAATGTATTCTGTGTATTTTAAGGCTGTAAAAATTCTTGTAGTCTATTATTAGTGCTTGTTATTTAGCTCATGAAGTAAATATGCTTGGACTAAAAGTTTCAAGTTGAGTGTTTTAGAAGCCAGGTCGTGGAATTCATTCTTAGTCATTTGACTAAACAGAGCTTGATTCTCGGAAGTACTGGAGAGCTGTTCTGAATTCAGTGCAAGCTCTGGAATCCGTGCATGGGTTGTTGTCCTCAGAGCAGGTCTGAGTAGAAAAAGGGCCCACAGAGCTTTCCCACAGAGAAAGGGAAGAGAAACTCTAGGATGATATGAGCAAGAACAAAAGCAAGGAGCAGCTGTATGTCACCCTGATGATTATGTGCATTTCTTCAGTTGATGCTGTTAAAAATTTATATTCATTGCTTTAAAGGACTGCATTTCACCCTTCATTCCTGCAGGACTCTTGCTGTAGATTGTGGTGATTGTTTACATTTCAATTTATTTCTCAGCCCATTAGCCATAATTAAAAATAGAATTTTGCACTCTCCAGAGTCCTTTCCTGGAGACTTTCACCTTCTGGATGAAAGGGGATTAGATAGGATGATTTACTGGGCTCACGTACAGTCCCCTGAGTGTACTGTGGCACTAAGCTGAAAGAAAGCTGAAATGATATCCAGTCTGGCAACCACTTGTACCATGAGTAGAATAAATCCTGCCCCTGGACAAAAACTCTGTCTTGTTCCGTCCAAATTTGCTTGAATTCCTTATGTGTGTGGGCTCTTGGTAACACGAAGTTAAGGTTGGAGAAGGCAGTGGTTGTCTGCCAAGGCAGTGTGCCTTCAGTGTGCTGGACTCTGTACCTGTGTTTGTGTTGTCATGAAGTGCCTTGGGCTCTGCCAATGCAAAGTGCCAACATTATTTTTTACGGTTATGACATTCCATCTTCAAGAGGGAATTGGAAATGATGTTCAGAATCACAGGTCTGACATTTGATCATTGCTCTTCAGTTACTTTTCAGATTTTTAGGACTTTTTAGTACTAAAGTCAAATAGAAATAGTCATAAATCTGGCAGAGGCTTTGCTTTCTTGCTTGCTTCTTCTCTGCTAAGTCAGAGAAACAAAAAGGAAGAAATATGTGGCATTAAAAAATTTTTTTGAGGTGATTATTCTATGAGAGGAGATAGCAAACCTCTGTTATCACATTTGTTAGGGCAAGGTTTCAGGACTATGATGTCTTTTGAAACATTTCTAGGTGCCTTATTGCTTTCTTAAGTGCTCTTAAAAGTGTGCTTTTTCTTGACTCTGAGTTCTTGGTCTTTGCTAGGTACTAATGAGGGATCATCCTGAAATACTCTTGATAAAACCCCAGCTTATTCATACCAAAACACCTTTTTCTTCAGCTCAGAGTGATGTCATGCAATGTGTCTCACAGGAAAAGATAAAAGATGCAAGTTGGCTAGGGCTGTTTCCACTGCAGGAAGGGATACTGGCAGGAGGGTAGTTTACTGGGACTGAAGTGTATTGATTTCTGCAGATGCCTTATTGCAAAAGTTTCTGATGTCCAGAACAAAATCTGGTCTGAAAGAGAAGGAAAAAAACCCTACCACCCTAGAGAAACTGCCTGTAAGAGCACAGGATTGCTGATACCATCCCAGCTTCAGGTCCCCAGTTCTAATTCAGGCACTGTGAAAATATGCATCAGTTTAGTGAGATCCAGTCTATACAGACTAGGTCTTTATTGCTGTTACTGATTGAACCCTAATGACAAAGTTGTTTCTGTTGATAATGTGAATTGCTTGAATATTACACTTGTTTTAGTGTCCTTCAAACATTTTTTCCATTGATGAACCTGTGCTACCCATATGTTATGATTCACTAGGGGTGCTTTTTCTTTGGTAGGTTAAAGAGATGTCTTTAACCTGCAACACTTCCTCAGCATAGCAACACTGTGGTGAAAAATGGTGATTACATGTAAAAGCTCATTGTGGAAAATCTATCCCTTTGCACATTCAGTTCATTAGGGCTATGTATCTGATACAAAAACCACATACAGTTTTCTTGATTTGCAGGATTTTTCAGTCTATCTCAAACCTGATTCTCATTACATCCTTGGACTTCCTCCTAGAAACCAGGAATATTTAAAAGCAATCTGTGGTTTGTGTCATCAGTGTATGATTCAACCACTGGAAGAGATACATTTGGGTAGACTGAAAGACAAAGGAACTGGTTGTCTTTTCTACCTAAAATAATACTTCTCCAGATTGCATTTGGGCAAATATTATTCTCTTTATGTGCTTACATCCCAGGCAGTCTGTGGTATACCTGTGAAGCTTGAACTTGTCTTGTCTTACCCAGGACATATCCCAAAGACTCTTGCCTTCATTTCTGTAGGATTGTGAGCAGAAGGAACTGAAAATGTGGGAAAATTAATAATTGGGTAGCATTTATAGTTTTATTCTTAATTAAAGACTAGTGGCTATGTGAAATGTATTTCCTCAGGGCTGTGGTGAGGGAGAAGTCACAATTTCACCACTAAAACGAAGCAGAAAAAAGGCACCAGCAAACAATATAGGCATTCTCTAATATTCATCAAAGTCAATAGGAAACTTGCCTTTTGACTTTAAAGGGCATTGAACTTAACCCTGCAAGATCATATTAAAATGATTGGAAGTGCTTAAGTACTTTTTCTTACCATACTGCAGTAATAGAGCTAGAAAAACTGTCGGTAGATTTTAATTTAAGCCACTCCATACATTTTTAATTGTTTGTGTTTACATAGTTGGTTGCATACAGTTGGATTAGGTGGTAGTTTGCCTGATGATTTGTGTTTGACTGTTGCTACATGACATGCTCTTATAGTTTCTCTCTTTACGTAGTCTTCTTGTGAGCTGATACAACCCTTACCTAAATTAATGCACGCAATTTTCTGGGAAAGCAAAGATAGCGACTTCTGTGAGTTCTAGTATTGTTATTTAGTGGTCTCAGTATGGTACGATTCCTACCCTGGGGATGGGACTGTGCAAGGGGCTGCAGGCATGGGTGTCTCTTCTGCTGAGAGGATTCAGAATGCTGCAGAGCATGCATGGTCCTATCTGTGGGACTTGGAAGAGGTCACTGAGCTGTCACCACTGCCGCTATGGCTGCTGTTGATCGGTGTCCTTTACCAAGAAAGCACAAACCGCTCCAAGCAATGCACGGTTTAAACTTCGGGGCACTGGCAGACATTGGTGTAAGGGTAAGGAATTTCAGGGCTGGCTGAAGGCTTCAAGGTGCAGGAGAGTAAATATCATCCAGCCTGGTCTCTGATATTATTCACCTGACTAACTGATGATTTGGGAATTTGATTAGCCATTACTCTTTGTCTGACTTCAGAGACCTGTGGCCCCTCAACGCGGAGCAAATGGTTGCTTTGAAACAAATCCAACAGAGTGGTCTGAAAGCCAGTTACTACCCATCTGGAAGATGCAATTTAAATGGCATTGCATCTCAATTGCTTCTAGTGCTTGTCAGTCTGTGTTCAGAGAAGGCCATTACCAATGCCAGGCGAAGCTGAGAGCTGGCCCATTTGGAGGTTTGTTGTGCTTACTTATGATCTTTATTTATTGCCTCAATTTCATCTACGCTGAATTCATGCTACATTTTTAAGTAATTAAAATTTAGGAGAAATGCCTGCCTGTGAAAAGGTAGAGCATTTGCCACTTCTGTTTTCTGGTACCTTGGATTTTGGAAGTCAGGACTGAACAGAGCACAATGAGCCCTTTGTCCTTGCACAGCAAACCGAATTTAAGCAATGCATGCTATGACAAATGGTATGAGTTTTGTGGCTTGGGCTCCAGCAGCAAGAAAAGGCAATCCTTTTTTCCCATCAGCCAAATAATATGGCACCATTTAATACATCTGGTATGAAGCCTAAGAATAATACGTATAATAAAGGAACTGAAAACTTTCTTCTTTTAAAAGCTGAAGGTGGGGGGAGCTGTGAATTTTGCTTTGAGAACCATGCTGGAAGATGGCTTTTCTTGCCCCTGCAGGTCCATAGTCTTACTTTATAACCACCTTGGTATTTCTACCTCTCCATTCATTTCACTGATACAGCAAAACAGCAAAGGAAGATGGAGTTTTCCCTTCTTTTAATGCATAGAGCTCACTGGAGGTGACTTCAGTCTTAAATCTAGGATTTAGAAACCCCAGCGATTAAAATGATTTACTCTTTGCTTCTGCAGGACTATTGGAATCACTTTCTAATTTATTTTATTTTTAAAGAAAAAGTCTTTTATTGAAAACCACTAGATTTATAGATGTGCAAAGTATGCCACTGCTTCTGTGGATTCAAGAGTATGTCTCAAAAGAATGACTATTTTTTTAAAAATCTATTTTATTTTCTTTAAATCTTCTGACTTATTTGTTATATGTGCTTATTCCTGTTTGGCCTGGAGAAGAATAAAGGAACTAGAGAAACCTGCCTTCTGTCTGCAGTGTCGAATCCGGTTTAATTGCAGGTTTAATTAAGTGGTCCGGTTTAATTAAATGTATAATTGTTGTAGATGGAAACCTGCTTGCTCATATGTGTTGGTGAAATATCTGTTTGGTTTCTTGTGCAGAAAAGAGTCAAAGACGTCATCTCTCCAATTGTATTTGAAGCTGCATACAGCCTTCGGGAACATGTGCTAGGAAGAGGGAAAGAGGACAAGGAACTACCTGCTCTCAAGCCCATTCTCCGCTGGAAGAAAGGACAAAAGATAGCACAAAGGAATCAGGTCAGATTGGGACTGTTTTATTTCCCTAGAAGACCTGTGGCTTGAACTGGCAGCAGAGGGGTCTGTAAAAGTGGATCGCCAAGCTCTGGGTCATTTGCAAACAGTAACCTTTCTGCACGATCCCTAGTGTTGCTAACATCACTGCTGCTCCATGACATAGTAAAGGCTTGTGCTGCCAAGACTGGACAGCAAAAGGTGAGCCACTTTCTTGTTTCAGGGTGTCTGTGCTGGGAAGGGACAGGATAAGAAAGGTCTTCTTCTCCTGTTCTTCCCTTTATGCAGGAGGTTCTAGTGAAAGGCTTGCTCCTGGCCTTCTTTCCAGGTTGAGCCTTTGTTAGTGCCAGAGGGACAGAGATGACTCCAGGAAGGGACATGGGAATGATGTGGGGGGAGACAGTGGGCACAATAAAGAAAAATTTGCCTGGCTCAGCTGCCCTCTTCTTGAGGACTCCTCAAATCCAGTCATGTGGCAGGGGAAACCTTCTCCAGCTGTCTTTATAGGACATGTCATGCTAAAATGGGATGGGTTTATTTCAGAGAAAGTAAAGTGTAGGTAGAGCCATGTACATATTAGGATCTTACTTTGTTCCACTGCAATGCAGAGAAACTTTTTTGTCATTAATTTTGGTGAGAGTGAGATAATTCTCTTAATGTTGAAGTGCTCCTCGTTTAAAGGGTAGAAATTCTTTCTATTATTATTATTTAATTTCTCTCCCGACCCCCTTTCTCCCAAATTGTTCCCTAGGGCATTGAAATGCATGTGATTATCCCACCTCTCTCGTTTGTCTGTTTTGATCTCACTAGTATCTTTGAAAAATACAGGCAAACGTGTACAGGTTTTGTCAGGAGTGATCAAGGCAGTGCTTATGAAGGTATTAAACACTTTCAGGGTTCACAAAAAAGGTGCTTGTGCTGAGGAGAAAGACCCTGCTAGTGACCTTTTGGAAGTCTCCCTTTTCAGTGTAGCCCTTGTAGATGCGAAACAGTCTGCCAAGGAAGGAGCCTGCAGGGCAATTCAGCCTTCCACTGTGCCAGCACCAAAGCATTTGGCCATGAAGTTGAAGGCTTCTCAGGGAAATCAAAGATCTTCTATGGTAGGGAAAGCTTGTGTGTCAGAATTGAGAGGTAATTTAGACTGGAAAGGTCCTCTGTAGGTCCAGTTCCTTACTCGACGTAGAGCCAACTTAAAAGGTAAATTGAGTTGCTCAGGGTTACATTCATTCAAGTTCACTTTTCAAAACATGCTTACATAGTTATGAGCTGACATTGCTTGTGAATGCAAAACTTCTCTTTTCTTTTTCCTTTTTTCTTTCTTTTTTTTCAGTAGCAAAAAGTCTGTCCTCGAGTCTGAGGCTTTCAGTAGTGAATGGTTGGATCTGATTTTTAACCTTGGGAAGTTCATGTCTATTAAGTGATGATAGCATCATCATCTGTAACATTACTTTCTGATGCTGCTCATAACGTACCGGAATACTACTTTAAAAAAGTGTTGAACTGTATTTGGTTATAATCTTTGTACTTAAGAGACATGAGTATTAATTCAAGTATGCTTCATTTTTATAAGTGTATGAATGAAAGATGCATTCAAGAATTACTTATTTTTATGAAGATGAGTTGTATGGCTGTTATGTATATGGATTTTGTATTGTTGCAAAAATACGATGGGAATTTGTGGAGAACTTTGGAACTCAAGTAGTGTGCTGAAAACCTGCATGTTACACGAACAAAGCTGCTTGTATACTTTACCAGTGGGCTCAAACTCAAAAGGTCACATCTTGCTCTGCAGGCGTGGTCTCAGATCAGTATTAAAATACCTAAAAGCTGAGATTATAGTACAGAAATAAAAATATGTTAGGAATTTCCCCGAGTTCTTTTCTTGTGCAATTTGGATGAGAGGGAGCCAGTTTAACAATCCCTTTCCATTTGCTTTCCAGACGTTGTTCACTTAGCTTAGTAAGGAAAGGATTTTGACACTGGGTGTGCTGGCGTGTTTTCAGCTGAGGAAGTGAGAAGAGCTGGAGGCACGATATTGGGGTCCTCAAAGGCCAATGTCATGGGAAAATTGGGAGGTAGCATTCTCTTTCAGGATTCTTATCATGTTCTTAGTAGAAATGGTTTTCAAAAGCCAAGAGCTTTTATAATAAAGGATTTGCATTTTCAAAGAATCTAACAATTTTGAAGGAGCATTTTGGAAGTCCAATTTAAGTCTTGGTGGTTTCTATTTTCAAAAGATATGGCATAGGTGAGGTCAGGTGGACAAAATTAATGTTAATGTCAGTACTAATGTCTTTAAATATAGCTGGTTGTGTGTTGTTTTGGCAAGTCCTAGATCCTGTTGATCCAGTAAAAAGTGGCGTTTTGGGATCAAAATTGTTACATCTGTTCATTGAAGGCACCATTTAAATAAGGATACTTTTTGAAACACCAGGTGAATGGGTTTTGTGAATGAATGCAGGAGAAGAAGCTGGAAGTAGTGAATAGCTGAAAAAATGGGAGGATACCATCATGAGCAGAAAAGGGGGAGACATCCATTTTTCAGGATCCTACTACAGCTCTGCCATAAAAAAAAAAAAAAAAGCCATATATTTTGCAAACTTGCAAAAGCCATATATTTTGCAAACATGGACCTTATGTCACCTAGATGTGATTTTATTTGAACTAGAGTGATGTTAAAGGTGAAGTGATCTCTTTCACTGGTATTTCAGTTTGTTTGCATGACCCAGATGCTTCCTGTATGTATCATCTCCCAACAGGAGTGTACAGCCCTATTACTCACAAACAAGGAGGTAGGAAAGCCATCAAGAGGCCTCTTGACATAAGAATTAAAGATTATATTGATCATGTGAAGTTCTTTGTGTTGCTTTGCTCTGATGCATTTAAGGAGTCTGCTTGGAAGTACTGTTCATGGACATCTACCAATAAAAGTGGCATCTCCTTAATGACATAATCACAGAAGAGGATTTTGTTGGATATTCATCTTTTAAATCAGTATTGCACGCTATGTGATAGAACAGTCTAGCCCTGTACTCATCACTTAGACCAAAGCAGAATTATAATAGTAAAGGAGGGCATTGATGTGAGATGTCATTCAAAATGCTTTTATTTATTCGTCACCTTCATTTTAAAAGGATGCAGTTTTTACTGTAAGGCACGGCAAAATGCTTTTATTTAAAAATAAAACAAAACAAAAGTAAACCTTGACTGTTCAGTGAAGAAGCCTGCTTCTATTCCTAAGTGAACTGTGCTTGAAACAATCAAAAGATGATAAATAATTGGAATATCTGACTGATTTGAAGAAAAGGTGCTTCACTGAAATGAAAAACATGCAATGTTGGGATTTCATTTTTGGTTATTTCTTTTGTAAGCAAATAGGCTCAGATATTTCAGAATTCAGTAATAATGTAACTAAGCTGGTCTGAAGGGCTGTTTGGCCCAGGATGCAGTAATGGTTTCTAATGGACTTTATTATTTTCTTAGTTCTTATATATGCTTACCTGAGTAAGCATATATGAAAGCATCCTGAGTTAAAAAGATTAATTTTGCACAGTTCCACTTTTAGTAAGAGAAAGAAGAAGGTTTAGAGGAGAAAATGTTCTCAAATGTCTTAAAAGAACCCTCCTGAGATTATGTAATTGAATTATCCTGTAGTTATCCAAAATAAATGGAAGACCATTTAAGACAAGACAGGAAAATATGTAGAGGAATGTGCTGCAGAAATCCATTCTACAACTGTATAGGGAGATGGGGTAGCTCTTTCTGTTGTTTTATGAATTTATAAGGTCTGAAGTCTTGTAAAATAAGAACACTATTTGGATGATATAAACTGTTAATAATTTTAAAAAGAAAAAATTGCCTCAGCCTGAAAATTGAGTGAGTCACACCAGAAATCGAATAAAGCTCTGAAAGACTGGGAGCATATTTCTGTTGCCACAAATTGCAATTCTTCATCCCAGGAGAACGTGAGGACAAGAGAATGCTTTGTTAAACACATTCACTGCTCTGGAGAATAACTAATACATATGTTTATTAATTTATTGCTTACTTTCAATAGCTAACAGGTTTCATGTCTGATCTTTCTAAACATCTGGTTTCATTGGAAATTCCTGTTCTTCTCACATTTGAGTGTCCTCCCTGCTTTTTAGCTTGGTGATCCAGCCCAGGTTTTAACTCTTACTGAAAGCAGGATGCAGCTGAAATAGAGGGCAAATGATTGCATTTGGCTTAGATGGCCTGACAAGTGACAATGTGCTAGGTATTTCAAAGTTACTTACTTTCAAGCTGGAAGAAATACATGTTTGGTGATTTTAGAAAATGAAATATTTATTAATTCTTTCTGTAGAACTGTAACTATAGATTTAGGAACAAAATGGCAGGGTTATTAGATAGTTACTTAAATGTACTTACAGTACTTTATACTCTGAAATGCGCAGATCATTTCTTAGATCGCTGTGTTCACTTTGCCAAGATTTCTGCAATGCGAACAGGGAAACTGACTGGCAAGAATTTTTTTACAGTTTATTATTCTTTCTCCTCTCGAGGTCAAACAGTCTTTCCTATGTATAGCTACTACAGTGGTTGGAGATTAATTCTGAGGACGTTTGAAACTATACCTGTGAAATGGGCCATGTTTTGAGAGGGACGCCTAGTGTCTATTCCTGTCTCAGGGCTATTCTAGTCCTTTAGTTGTGGTAGTCTTTATGAAGGAGGAAAGGTAAATTCAGTCCTTGTTTTTAAAGACACAACAAATTTCACTTCTGAGATTCTGAGCATGCACATACCTTGGGAAGAGAAATAAGAATGACAGAAGTATTGTATGAGCAGTAATTCTTGTCAGATAAGAAGCGAGAATGGAATGGGGAAAACCTCTGAGAGAGAGGTAGTTTGATGAAACTTATTGTGCAGTTAAAAGAGAATAAAACCAGTTCTGATAAGGATAAGATTTGCTTTACCTTGAATTTCCTTAACACTCCTACCATGTATTCCTGTATCACAGATTTTGGTGTGTTTTGTTTTGTTTTTTTTATCCAAGCATGTTCCTTCTTTTGAATTTTGATCTTCCTTCTTTCATGCTTTAACAGTTCTTTTCTGTTTTTCACAGACTGTTTTTGAGAGGAACTGTCAGTCTGACGACTGTGCTGCTGATTTGAAACTTCAGGGTAAATTACTGCTATCTGGGTGAGTAGGTGAACTTTTTTTTCTTTCTTGCAAACTAGTATACCATTCATCTTATGTAAAATGGCATTGAAAAATCAAAAGACAAACACAGATATTTAAGATCCAGCTTAGAAGGAGATGGTGACAATGATACCATTTTAGTGCAGAAAGGTCTTGAGATATACACAGAATCTGAAATCCTGTCGTGATGGGCTCTGGGCACATACAGCACAGGACACCTTCATCTTCCCAATCAAAATTTACAAAACTAGAGGAAAAAAATAGCATAGCAAAGAGGGGCAGAGAAAGTAAAATTGCATGCTGAAATCAAATACCAGTGTGGACCATGTAATTCTTTAAAGAGAATAAAATACTCTCCATGACATGGTAAGAGTATAACTGCCTGCAGAAAAGCAGTTTGTTCAAAAAAACCTCACATGGAAGGTTTAAAAAACTTCTCTGAACATGGCAAATTATCTTCTTCAATCTCTCATTTTCTGTTTCTCAAATTGCAGTTTTGCTAACTTGTCTGAAGTACTGCTCTCCTTTCAAATTCTTCTTGTCTGCAACCTGGGAACAAGTGTCTGATTTCACTTTCTTCTGGGATAATAAACCTCATCAAATAAACCAGAGGTGAAGTTTATGTTCTGTCCCTTGTGACGGGTGATCTTAGGAAGATACCTATTGTTTTGCCAGGATGTGCATTCAATTTTGGGATAAATCAGGCTAAAGTGAACACATCGCTTCTGTTTCCTTTTGGTTTTTTTTCAGATGGAAATGCTGATGTGGGTTATTTAATTGTGTGCCAGAGGTTTTGCTGTTTGACGGAGAAGATCTCTGTGAAATGCTTTGCTTTCAGGTCAGGAGAGAGAGGAGAAGACACTCCCCTGCTTTAGGAAAGAAAGAAAAAACAAACCAACCCCAAACACAAGGAATAAGTAATAGTCAGGAGATACACATATGTTTTATGTAAGTCCACAGCATGCTGTAACTGTGCTTGGAGACAAAACTGAACCGTAGTCAAGTCTGAGAAGTTACAGGATTCTCCAGAAACGACTGAAGTCCACATGAATGTTTGAGCTAGGTATATGTCTGTGTGGATTAGAGAAACCAGTGAAGGATTTTGTCCTGTAGTTGAGGAACAAATAGCAAGGGACAGGTCTTAAAACTTGTCAGTGTATGGTAATCACAGCAGTAAGAGCTGTAGTTGTGATTGGAGCATTTGGCTGTTTATATTTCCAGCTGCTGTTTATGTTACCTTGGCAATTTAAATGCCACACCTGTCAAAAGAGCTTAGGATTTTCAAATACAGTTTCTACATTTGTATAGCAAAATGCTGAACAAATGCTCTCAAATTTTCTTTACCCAGTGACACTCTGAAGTCCTGTTTGAAATAAACAGGATGTTGTGAAATCCCCCTGCAAGATATGGGCTTTCTTTAGCTAAAGGGCTCTGTAAGCTTCAGTTATTGAGAAACGTAACCCAATGAATGTCTCTTATGAAAACAGATTTTTTGTTGTGTTATTATTGCCTGTAAAGTTACCAGGAAACGTGTTATGGATTCTGATTTTAAACAAGTGCCTGGTAATTTTTCCAGCCCCATGTGTTTCATGCTAAATAATCCTATCACCATTTTTCCACATAATTCCTGCTTATTCTATGTACAAGCAAAATTACTATTTTTTTTTTTTTTTTTAGAAAGAAAAGAAAGGTGACTGATTTATTACTATCTGCACTAAACATTTAACTTCATTGTTAGCAAGGTTATGTCAATGCCTTTGTCTAAATAATCGTATATGACTAAATTTGGTGGACTTATTATTGGAAAGAATGCAATTAATGATACACACATACACTGGATTGAAATAAACCAGGTGTTTATGGGAAGGCAGCAGTAAGTGCTGTCTCTCAGGTCTGCTGCAGCTCTTTGAAGGTGTCACTGCACCTGTGGATAGGGTGGTTTGATTAAGATCATCTACCTGGGTTGGCAAAAGACTTTTATCAGATTTCTCATCAGGGGTTCACAACGAAAGTAAGTTACCCATATCTGAGAGGAATGATGCCCTGAGTATTACTACCTAATTAAAAGGTAATCAACAGAGAAAAGGTATAAATAGTTGGTTTTGATGGTGGAGAGAACTCTACAAGTGCTAGTGATATTCAGCACATCACCACAAATGATATGGGAAATAATCTGCCAGAAAGTAATGATAAAGTTTGCTAATCATACTGAACTCTTCATAGCAATGAAAATAACAAAGGAGGAGGTATATTTTCATGACGTGTGTGGATAATCTGTGGATTTTACTGTTTGGGATATCGTAAGTTCTGAGAGTATATGAATGCAGGAAGCTGCAGAAATATATCAGCAAAGTGCCATTCTGTGCTTGCCTTGCTCTTCCATATCCTCTTGCTTTTAGACATGGTTGGGTACAGGGTTCTCTGCTAGATGAACTGACTGTGCTTACACACTTTCCTTAAATTTGTAGCATGTTAGAGCCAAAGGCTGCTCAGGGAGCTGTATATGGCAAGGTGTAGCTTTGCTCATCACTTTATATGCTTACTATTTTTTTTTTTTTAGAAAGAAAAGAAAGGTGACTTATTTATTACTATCTGCACTAAACATTTAACTTCATGTTGGCCATGCTGCGTGCACTAGTGTACATGCACTTCAGCTGGGCTGCTGATTTTACCCTCAACTCGGGCTTTTCATCCCTGGGCTTCTCTTTGGAGAGCCTGGATTCAATCCCTTCCCCCTTCAAACCTAGTTTAAAGCCCTCCTGATGAGCCCCACTAACCTATGGGCTACAGTCCTTTTGGCCCTCCTAGATACACGAAGTCCATCTGGTTTAAGAAGACTGGGTACTGTGGAGTTTGCCCCATGGTCAAAAAACCCAAAATTTTGACAGTGGCACCGATCCTTTAGCCACCTATTGATAAGGTAGGCTCTTCTACACTTCTCCTCGTTCATCTCCTCATTCAGTTCCCCTCAAAAGGGAGTCACCTACCACAACTACCCTTCTTCTTTTCCTTACAGCTGTGGTTGTAACCCGGCTGGTAGACAGGGTGCAACCTGCAGACAGATGTTCCTCTTGCCTGACCCCTACTTGACTTTCTGAGTCTAGGGCCTCATATCTGTTGTTCAAGGGCACCTGGGGAGGTGATGGGGGTTGAGAGGGTGTTCTTTTACCTCTCCAAACAGGGACCTGTCTCCACTCCCCTCGTCCATTCGGTTTGCTCCATCTGCCTGATAGCAGGAGAGGCAGGGCATCACTATCTCCTGCTGGTATTGCTACACGTGGTTGGCGTGGGCTTTCTTACAGGACCATGAGTGTTGTTAGCCTAAAACTACAGATGGCAATTTAAGAAGAAGGAAAAAGGATCCGTGGAGTGTGCTGGGGACTTGATAAAGGCAGTTAGGAGAGACTGAAGGAGCAGAAGAGAGGTATCTCATCTTTCCAGTCATGACTGCTTTCTAATCCATTTTTCTTGAAGAATAAATATGGGAAGTTTTCAAAGCATACAGCAAGAGAGACAACTCATTGCCTCCCCTTCAACAATTCTCCAGTATAAAATCTTCAGCTGTCATTGGAGAAGGCAAAATCTGGCCTTATTCATGCAGTAATACCCTGTAAGTGGTGGTCGTGATGATTGCTAAAGGAAGAGACTTAAAAGTGTCTTAGTGTAAAGAATATGTTTATGTATTCCATACAGGTTTTTGTAATGACACAACATGAGACCATAAGAGAAATAGGAATAGAATATTTTGCAATAAGCTTTATTTTTATGACCGTAGCTTAGGACAGCAGCAGGAAACCAAGTTTCCTTTCTAGCAGTCCAGTACAGAAAAACAAAATGTTATGTTAGTTATTATTTTAAAACATATTTTAAAACACTGTTTAATGTTAAAAATATATTTATTACGTCTCATATTTGACTTCAGTGCCTCACTCTGTTTGCTTGGCATGGTAAATGTCTTTTCTATCAGGTTTCTGTAGCAACTAGCACATTTTTATTGAGCCTCTCTGAAGATTCTTAGAAGCTGAACTGCATCTGTTTCCTCAAGATTTGCTGGGGGAAACTCTAAAGTAGGTGTTCTGTACAAGTTTATACCTCCCTAGCCTTTAAAATTTCATATTTATTAAAAATTTCATAAAAATTTCATATTCATTCCTTCGAAGGGAGAAAAGCACTCTAGTCTTTTAAGAAGAACCTGAAAGTGCTGAGGGAGGTCTTGTCTTGATGTGCCAGTGCAGTTTCAGCTCCTGACCTGATGCCTGTTCCATCTGACTGGCTCTCTGCAAAGGCACTGGTAGTTCTGGAGCCCTGTTTGGGCTGTAACAGGATGGAACTGAAAAGTGTGGAGGAGACTTCTGATTAGCAGTGAGAGTGTTTAAAAAACCAAACTGTCTTCCAGCCATAATAAACAAGCTAGCTAAAAAGACCAGATCAGAATGGGTGGTTGCTTCCATGGGAGATGCATCTAGGAAGGAAACCCTGCATGGCTGTGTAAATACACTGACCCTCCTGTGCTGCAATGAACAGAGCAGCTTTACTGAAAACAAGCAGTACAAGAAAAAAAGGTGATGTTGTGGCATGTCGTGTAGCTGCTGTGCTCCAGCACAAGCTGTGTGCGTGGTGTGTAAATCGAGTTGTAAGCACAGGACTATGAGACCCCTTGGATAGAAAAAGCTGTGTTAAATAAGGCTATCCCTGTGGAGGTTCCAAGAGGAGGTCTGTCTTCCACATGTTTATGTGGCATGAAGTTACCTTTTATCCATCATTAGAACAGAATTCCTCATACATCAGAGTGCTTCTGACCGATCTTTAACTGTTAGGAATAAGCAGCTTGCTTTTATGTATTGGTTTAGAGCATCCTTAATGACCACCATTCATGAGACTCAAATTTATATTCCTCCCCTACAGACTGGCTGGGGTTCCAGTATATACTGCTGGAAATGGTTTCCTTTGGAAATGTGAAATTGGAAGCAAAAGTCATTGAGAGGCAAAGGAGTGGTGGA